GGGGGGGGGGGGGCGAGGTTGTGTTGTGTTGAGGACACCGGGAACAACGGGGGGGCCCCAGGGCAGAGTAGAGCCCGCCTAGCCTGCAGGGGAGTCTGTGCGCAGCATCAGGAAAGCGCGGGGCAGTGGTGCAAGCACCCAGACTCCTGGGTTCCAATCACAGCTCTGAGACAGACTCATGCTAGGTCCCACCCCCCTGCCAAGCCCCAGTGCCCCATTCCCTGTTTCCCAGAATCCCCCAGGGCCCTGCCCGTCCCCAGCGCCCTATTCCCTGTTAACCAGAATCCCCCAGAGCCCTATCCGTCCCCAGCGCCCCATTCCGTTACCCAGAATCCCCCAGGGCCCTGCCCGTCCCCAGTGCCCCATTCCCTGTTTCCCAGAATCCCCCAGGGCCCTGTCCATCCCCAGCGCCCCATTCCCTGTTTCCCAGAATCCCCCAGGGCCCTGCCCGTCCCCAGCGCCCCATTCCCTGTTACCCAGAATCCCCCAGGGCCCTGCCCGTCCCCAGCGCCCCATTCCCGGTTACCCAGAATCCCCCAGGGCCCTGCCCGTCCCCAGCACCCCATTCCCGGTTACTGAATCCCCCAGGGCCCTGCCCGTCCCCAGCGCTGAATTCTCTTTCTTTGGGGTTGAGGTCAGAGTCAGAGTCACTATCCAGGATCCAGATCTAAGGGCCGAACCGGAGGGCAGGAACTGGAGCGAGCAAGGTAGCAGGCAACCAGGGGTTCAAGGCAGGGGCAGGACAGAGGCCAGGCTGGGTGCAAGGCCGGGGCAGGAGCAACCCGGTCACGCAGGAGTGGGCACAGGGGTGGACAGGAGCATTAAGAAGCCACCAAGAGGCTGTTGGCTTAAGAGCCCGCCTGCTGGCTGCTTGTGGCCAATCTGTTGGCGTGGCCAATCAGGCAGCCTGCTGCCGGCCAGCTGCGCTGATGCGGCTACCTGGGGACTAGCTCTGCCGCGGGCCCTGATTCCCGACAAACACCAACACAACTCAAGCACGTGGGAAGAGAAAGCCGTGAGAATGATCTTCAACAGAGACCGCACCCTATGTTTGCTGATAGCGCAGCATTCCAACCGGGGATCCTATTCCACACTGAGTACGTCCCTTTTACTGGCTGTTTATTTTCCAAACGGTAGCCAATTTGCGGTTTCCATTCAACGTGGCACGCATCGTTTTCAGATTTGGCACGTTCGCCTTACGAAAGAAACCGTGCTTACCAGCGTCTCCCCAGAAATGCTTTCTGTTCCCTGAACAGCAGTGCCGCTGGGAATCTGGCCCCGTCGACACTAGAAACATATATTGGGATAGCTATGTCCCTCAGGGGGATGAAAAATCGAGAGATGCAGCTATACCGACCGAACCCCGGGAGCAGACAGCACTAACCTAGCTACCGCCTCTCGGGGAGGTGGATTACCTACGCTGATTGGGAGAACCCCTCCCATTAGCACAGGGGCTACCACGACACAGCTGTACTAGGAGTGGTGGAAGCTTCCTAAAAGTGGGGGGCCACTGGTGCCCGAACCGTGGCCCTGCCCATAGGTGCTGACTCCGGGGGTGCTCCGGGGGTGGAGCACCCACGGGGAAAAATTGGTGGGTGCTCTGCACCCACCGGCAGCTCCCCGCCCCGCCCCAGCTCACCTCCGCCTCCACCTCCTCCCCTGAGCGTGCCGCCGCGTTCTGCTTCTCCCCCCTCCCTCCCAGCGCTTGCGCTGCGAAACAGCTGTTTCTCGCGGCAAGCGCTGGGAGGGAGGGGGAGGAGGAGAAACGCAGCATGCTTGGGGAAGAGGCGGTGATTTGGGGAGGGGTCCAATAGGGGCAGGGAGGGGGCAGAGTCAGGGCAGGGCCGGGGATGGGGGGGCACGAGCACCCACTGGCGCCAAAGAAAGTTGGCACCCGTGGCCCTGCCCCATGCACTGCCCCTTCTCCCAAGGCCCTGCCCCTTCTCCCCGAGCCCCCGCCCTCATGCCGCCCATTCCCCCAATGCCCCGCCACCCTTTCTCTCCAAGGCCCTGCCCTCACGCTGCCCCTTCCCCCAAAGACCCGCCACCGTTCCGCCTCTCCCCCCAAGACCCCGCCCTCTGCTTGCTCCTCTCCACTCCGTCCCCCTCGTCGCTTGCCCTTTACACTGACACTGCATCGACCTTTTATTACATTGCCCGTGGAGGTGGAGTTATTAAGTCGGTGTGGCGGGGTAGTTACATCGGCGGGAGCAAAATTTTAGTGTAGACACTTCCATAGTTAGGTCAACTAAAGCTGCCTTGCGTCGACCTAACTCTGTAGCGTAGACCGGACCTCTACCCTCAAACGAGCATAAAGGACCCTAGCTCTGTGCACTGTTTTCAGGATGCATGAGCCACGGAGAAGCTAATGAGGAGCAGCTGCCAGACCCGCTGACCCTGCACCCCTCTCTTGGGCCCTCGCACAACATGACCATGGCTAACCACCAGTTCTGGGTTCTCAGCTCCCTAGATGGTTCCCAAATGACCCACGCTGTTGAAAACGCTCCCCTTGGAGAACTTCCTGGGGAGGTGGGTCAAGATGCAGGTTTACCCTGAGCACCTAACGATTGGGTGGGTCTAGATGATCATGGAAATAACCTAACGTCTGCGTTCAGAGCCCCAGGGGCAGCTCCAGTGATATCTGGCAGCGTGGCCTAGCACGTTGAGCACTGGACTGAGACTCAGGGCACTTGGATTCTGTCCCTGGCTCCACGGATGGGTGATCCTGGGCGAGTCACTGCCTCGCTCTGTGCCTCAGTTTCCCCATCTGTAAAATAGGGATGATGATACTGACCTCCTCTGCAAAGTGCTTTGAGATGTACCCGTGAAAAGCACTAGATAAGAGCTGGGGATGAAATTATTATTACTCCACAATAGATGCTGTGGGGGAATCATCCCGTGCATCAGATGGGGGCTTGCAGTATTCAGCACGGCCACACGTCCTCGGCAGAGCTCTCAGGTTGGGAGGCTCATTCAGGGGACGACAGCCCCAAGCCCCACTCTGCATCAGCTCAGAGCCCATGGCACTCATCAAAGCCAGGTGCTTTGGGATGGGGCCGCACGCTGGATCTCTCTGCACCTGCTGAGGTCCTGTGGCCCATGGCCACGCGTCCCATGACGGACTCGGTGAGAGCGGGCACCCCCCCATGTTGGCTCAGAGATTTTCCCTTGGTGCTGCCCAGTCATAACCATGCCATGTCCTGGCCTAAGCCCCCAATGCTGCCCAATCACGCCTCCTCCCCCGGGTGCTGCCCAATCATGCCCCCCCCGTGCCATCCAATCATATGCCCCCATGATGCCGCCCAATCACGCCTCCTCCCCCAGGTGCTGCCCAATTATGCCCCTCCCCCGGCCCAGGTGATGCCCAATCACGTCCCACCGGGCGCTGCCCAATGGAGCCTTGGGGCATGGCCACTCTAGCCCCCCTTCCCTGGACTCTATGGTGCGGAGTCGCCCTTCCCTCGCTCCCCCGCCTCTCTATGGCTGAGCTCCGAGCCCCGCCCCCTCGCCGTCAGAGGGTCCCGGCGCCTCAGCGCGCGTGCGCGCGTTTGCGACACCCCTCGCGGCCCCTCCGCGTTGCTGTTTGCGGCAGCGCTCGGCGGGGCGTTTGGGTGCGCGCGGTTGCCAGGGTCGCTTTACGGCCCGGCGATGGCGGAGGGCGAGCGGGCGGAGCAGAACGGCGGCCTCGGGCGGCCCCCCCGGGAGGGGGAGGCGGGGGCGCTGGAGCGGGCGGAGGTCCTCAAGAGCCAGGCCAACGAGTACTTCAAAGGTAGCGGGGGGGGGGAGCTGCCACATACGGAGCTATTGGGGGAGCCGGGGGGGAGGGGCTGCCAGATGTGGAGCCAATGGAGGGGGAAGCCGGGGGGGCTGCCAGATGTGGAGCCATTGGCGGGAGCCGGGGGGGAGGGGCTGCCAGATAATGAGCCAGTGGCTGGAACCGGGGGGGGAGGGGCTGCCAGATGTGGAGCCATTGGCGGGAGCCGGGGTGGGAGGGGCTGCCAGATATGGAGCCGTAGAGCAGAGTCATAGGGGGAGGGGCTGTCTGATATGGAACCATTGGGGGAGGGGCTGCCAGATGGGGAGCCATTGGGGCAGTCTGGGGGGGGGGGAGGGGCTGCCAGATATGGAGCCATAGAGCAGAGTCATAGCGGGGAGGGGCTGTCCGATATGGAACCATTGGGGGAGGGGCTGCCAGATGGGGAGCCATTGGGGTAGTCGGGGGGCTGCCAGATGGGGAGCCATAGGGGAGAGTCCTAGCGGGGAGGGGGCTGGCACACAGGGCGCCATTGTAGGGCGGGGTTAGGGAAGGGGCAGCTAGATGGGGAACCAAGGGGCGAGTGGGAGGGATGATGGTGGGCAGGGCCTGCCAGCTGTGGGGGTGGGGCTACCAGAGAGAGAGAGAGTCCTATGTGGGGAGCAGAGAAGATGGTAGGTCGCCAGAGGCAGCCTCGTCTAGTGGCTAGAGAAGGGGAGTGGGACTCGGGGCTCCTGCGAGTGGGACTCGGGGCTCCTGCGTTCTAGTCATGGATTCCAAGGCCAGCAGAGACCAGATCATCTAGTCTGACCCCTTGTACAGCAGAGGCCAGAGAACTGCCCCAGATAATTCCCAGAGCAGATCTCTTAGAAACCTGGCATTGGCCACTGTCGGAAGACAGGATACTGGCCTAGATGGACCTTTGGTCTGACCCAGTGTGGCTGTTCTTATGTAAACCCATCCCATCTTGATTTAAACATGGTTGGTGATGGAGAATCCACCATGACCCTTGGTAACTTGTTCCAAAGATGGTTACCCTCACCGTTAAAAATGCATGCCTTATGTGGGATGGATGGAAGTGGGAGGCTTGTGGGGTCTAGTCATTAGAGCAGGGGATTGACTCCTGGTTTGTGTTCCTGGCTCTGCCAATGGTGTGTGGGGTGACCAAGAGCAGGATGCATCCCTGCTCTGCGTTTCAGTTTCCCTATCTGTAAAATGGGGATAATGATATTGCTCTGCTCTGTACAGTGTTCTGAGATCTACTGCTGAAAAGTGCTGGAGAAGAGCTCAGGATTATCACCATGGCTATGATTTGTAGTTACGTGCAGGGCAGAGGCCTCATGCCAGCAGTGGAAGCACACTGCCCTACACGCTCCGCTCCGTTTGCAGGGGTGCCAACAGAAAGGGCATTATGGTTTCAGAGCAAATGCTTTCCCCTTCTCTTGCTCTTTATCCAGGATCTCCAAGCAGTTTGCAAGGATTTGTTAATTCGCCGCTACATCCCCCTGGGCATCCTAATTTCACACCTGGGGAAACTGAGACATGGGGCGGGGGAGGTGACTTGTTCAGGGTCACCCAGGCAGTCTGTAGCAGAGCTGAGAGTAGCACCCAGGAGTTCCGGTTCCAAGTTCCCTCTTCTAACTGCTGATGTCTGCTCTACACGGGAAAGCTTTATGGGTATAATTATTGTGACTCGGGAAGTGATTTTTATTTTTTAACTGAAATAGTTACACCAGTGCAAGCCCTAATGTAGAAGCAGTTACACCAGGATCACTTAGGAGAATAAACTATACTGGTCTACGCACATTTATACTGATGTAAGTGTGTCCACCCAGTAGGGTTGTGCTGCTGTACCTGTGCTGGCACACTTAAAGTGATTCAGTTTTGATGTGTAGATGTTCCCTGATACCCATCACTGGGGTATTAAATCAGAGTAAGAGAGGCTGAGCTAGCAAAGGGCCTCAGGATGTGTGGGTGGGGCGTGGGTGAAGGTGTTCAGCTGAAGTGACTAGCATAATGATCTGATCTGTTGATGGGGTTAGTGTTAGAGGAGACGTTGATGTGTCAGAGGGTTTGTTTACATATGGCGCTATTCTGGAATAACTCCATGGTTGAATCAGTTTAAAATAAAACCAGTGAAAACCTTGTGTGTGGACACTCTTATTTCCATTTAAACCAGGCTTATTTCAGTTGATCTTAAATTGGTTAAGAATCAGTTTAAATTAACCAAAAGTAAGCCCCACTTAAATCAAACATCCACACGGCAGATTAAAACTTATATCTGGTTTAAAATCAGATATAAATTAAACCAGTGCACATTTTTGTGTAGACAAATCCTTATTCCAGAATAAGACCATCCACATGCACAGTTATTCTTTTAAATTCACATCCTACCTTATTCCAAAGTATCTTATGTAGACAAATTCTTATTCTGGAATAAGAGTGCCTTTTCCCAAATTAGCTTAGTCTGTTTTAGAAATGGATTAAGCCAAACCAGAGCAAGGCCCTCTTGTTCTTGGATAAGAGCGTGCACACATGGAGTTATTCCTGAATGGCTGTTCTGCTTTAAATTCACACCCTACCTAATTCCAGAGTGACTTTCATGTGTAGACATGTCCTGAGGTGAGGTGAGGGCAGTACCATCTGATGCAACAGAGGGCATATTCTCTCAGGGGAGGATTTGTGGAGCTGAGCTTAATAGTGAGTGAGATGAAATAAATTATTGGGGGAAGTGACTGGCGGGAGAGGGAAGACATTGCGGATGGGCGTCACAAATAGGGCACTGGTTCCCGTAGGTTCCCACCTTGTGGCTTGGTTCTGAATGCTTCAGAAGCAGCCTGGCCTGTTTCTTTGGCATAAACAGGAAGAGACTGGCTGTGCCCTGCCAGCTGGGAGCCGCCTGAAGAAATACTTTAACTCGATTGTTGCTTTGCTTAACTTCCCTCTTTCCGTATTAGGAGGGGTTAATGTCCAGTCTGAGAGCAAACACGGCCCTCTTGGAATAGGCCATGTGTGTGAGCTCTTTAAGGCCACTTGTCCTTAGCCCTGAATTTCTGACCATGGGAGTGTCTGGCTGGCCTTGTGCTAAAGAGACCCCATCTCCCCAGCTTTGAGAGCTTTTCAGCAGGAGATAGCCTCCTTTCTTCCTTGCTCTTTGTCAGCCATTTCTTTATCACTGTAACCCTCCTCTCTGCAGGCAGCCCTTCAGGGGGAGACTGGAAGTCATTTCCCCAACCCCAGGTACTGCTCTTACCTCTAGATATGATCTCTCCGGGGCAGGATGGAGGACTATGAGGAAGTCTGTGCTTCCCGTCCTGGAACTTAAACAAACCCTGTCACCGCCACTGACTCTAGGAACAGAGGATATGCCAAACTGGATCAGACCTAATGGGGGGTAGTTCCAGTTTCCCATCTCTCCCCAGTGCTCAGCACCAGCTGCTTCAGAGGAAGGTGCAATGGTGGAATTAACTGATCAGAGCAGAAGGTTCTTCCCCATCAGTCAGCGATTTGGCTCTTGCTGATAGCACTTCTAAAAAATGCTTTGACTTGTGTCTAACCGATGTATGGAGAGCAGAAATAGGGAAGTATATCTATCTAGAAGCGATCACCTGGCTTAGCGTCTGGTGAGATCACGTGATCAGGTATGTCTTTACTAGAAGTGAAGCCCCTAAACTGCACACACAAAGTTCCACGCGTTGTGACTGGTCCCCTTGAGTTCCATGGAGTTGCTCTAATGGTCGAAGTTAAACGTGTGTAGAGGAAGGATGGCACAGTGATCGTGGCACTCTAGTTTAGGACTGTAGAGACGTAGGCCTAGTTCTCTGTGCTGCCACAGTCTCCCTGTGTAACCTTGGAAAGTCACTTTGCCTCTCCGGGCTTTGCCGCATTGGGGTGTTGTGGGAGTATGTACACTAAGTATTGGGAAACGCTTTGAGATCTAGGGATAAAAAGTGCTGTACAAGAGAGAGGTATTATAGAATCATAGAATATTAGGGTTGGAAGAGACCTCAGGAGGTCATCTAGTCCAATCCCCTGCTCAAAGTAGGACCAACACCAACTAACCACACCATCAAGGGCTCATTCACCTGCACATCCACTAATGTTATATATGCCATCATGTGCCAGCAATGCCCCTCTGCCATGTACATTGGCCAAACCGGACAGTCCCTCCGCAAAAGAATAAATGGACACAAATCGGACATCAGGAATGGTAACATACATAAGCCAGTAAGTGAACACTTCAATCTCCCTGGTCATTCTATTACAGATTTAAAAGTCACTATCATTGAACAAAAAAACTTCAGAAACAGACTGCAAAGAGAAACAGCAGAACTACAATTCATTTGCAAATTCAACACCATTAATCTGGGCTTGAATAGGGACTGGGAGTGGCTGGCTCATTACAAAAGCAGCTTTTCCTCTCCTGGAATTGGGAGTGGACTACATCCACCCTGATTGAATTGGCCCTGTCAACACTGGTTCTCCACTTGCGAAGTAACTCCCTGCTCTCCATGTGTCAGTATATAATGCCTGCATCTGTAACTTTCACTCTATGCATCCGAAGAAGTGAGGTTTTTACTCACGAAAGCTTATGCCCAAATAAATCTGTTAGTCTTTAAGGTGCCACCAGACTCCTTGTTGTTTTAACACCAACTAAATCATCCCAGCCAGGGCTTTGTCAAGCCGGGCGTTAAAAACCTCTAAGGTTGGAGATTCCACCACCTCCCTGGGTAACCCAGGGTGCTTCACCACCCTCCTAGCGAAATAGTGTTTCCTAATATCCAACCTATACCTCCCGCACTGCAACTTGAGACCGTTGCTTCTTGTTCTGTCATCTGCCACCACTGAGAACAGCCGAGCTCCATCCTCTTTGGAACCCCCCTTCAGGTAGTTGAAAGCTGCTATCAAATCCCCTCTCACTCTTCTCTTCTGCAGACTAAATAACCCCAGTTCCCTCAGCCTCTCCTCGTAAGTCATGTGCCCCAGCCACCTAATAATTTTCGTTGCCCTCCTCT